CCCCCCCCCCCCCCCCCCCCCCAAAAAAAAAAAAATAAATAAATAAAACATAATTAAATAAAATAAAATAAAAACAACAAATCAGAATCTAGGCCAAAAATGTGTACATTTTAATGCATATAAGAAAGCTACCCAAACCGAGTTTATCAGATAACTCTTAGTGTTGTATAAAAACTGCAGCTACGTTCAAGAACAGATGGACATCTAATTCATACTGCTGAAGACCAACAAAAAAGGCAGATAAATAAGTAGGTCCGATGAGCAGAGAAGACTAACCGAGAGAATGCTACCAATATTTGACTGTGATTTCATTGTTTCAATATCACGGTCTAACAGTTGTTTCCAGTCTAATAGTACTGTTTCGTCCTGTCATGTTCTAACCATATCAGAAGCTGCTATAACATCAACAAAACACGCAATAAACAGAAAACAACTTCTAATTACCTGAGGAATCTGTATAGTTACTTTGTTTGGGAAAAGACGACTGAGCTGCTTCAGTGTCTTCGGTGTTTCTTTATTTCGATCATGCAACCTACCAAAGTTATCCTAGAAAAAAAGGAATGGTTGAGATCAATTTTGAAAGTATCAATAACTGCAATAAAGAAAAGGTGTAGAGCATGCAAGGGGGTTGGTGTATTGCAGTAGTCCTGTCAATGAATTCGCACCTTAAAAGCATTTTGAACTATATGGCAACTGTTCGTGTGCAACCAGTGAGAGGAAAAAATACTGTTACCCATATAGAAGTGAAAGTCCATTAAATTTTGGTGGCCTTAAGACAATGTGGACAAGATCCAAAGTACAAATTTATTCATCAATGAGCAAACCGATAAAAAAATCATACATATCGAAAAAATTAGCCATGTGGTGACCTTTATGAATAAACAAAAATATGAAAAGCACCACACTAATTGTTTTCCACGAAATAATTTTTTATGCTCATTGAGTGACGTTAATTAGCAACAGAACGTACAAATTAATGGGAAAAGTGAAGGGAAAAACATAAAAATATCTTCACTTACATAGGGTTAACACCATTATCGCTCGAGTTAGATGTTGTTTTACTTTGGTCCCTGAACTTAATGTTTCGAAGTTAGACACCAAGCTTCATATAAATTTTCATTTTAGGTACATCTATCTACCTCTTATCTCCATCCGTTCAATTAAAAGAAATGCTAGCATTGGCAACTGAAAATGATCTTAGCTTGAAAAAAAATTCACAACAGCATTTTTGTTAAATTAGCCGGATACAGTGCCTACATTGTAACAAAAATCAAAGTTCAATGACCGACTTGGAAAGTAAAAGGTTTGGTAACCAAAGTGAAACAATGCTATAAACTGAGTGATTCATAAGTTTTCATAAGCACAAAAATGCAATAAGACAGGAACGTTACCAACAGCCATGTGTATCCTTTCTACCAAACATACATAACATAAAAAACATAAATGGAAAAAACTGGAATGATATCACCTGCAAAATCCCACACCACCACCCATCCCAAACAAAAAAGAAAAACATTAAGGGTGTGTTTGATTACATTTATTTTCCATGGAAAATATTAGTTTTTCATCCAAATTTT